ACTGGTGAGGCAATTTGCCCCGGCTGCGGCGGAGAGTGGCCGGCGATAGGAGCCGGGCCCGCCGCCGCCGCCGCCTCCTCCTTCTTCTCCTCCTCCTCCTCCTCGGCATCGTGTATGCACAGCAACAAAAAAAAATATATCCCCAACCCAGCCCTCGAGCCGAGACTGGAGCAGCTCACCGGATCTCTGGGGCTAAAGCAACTCTTCCCACCCCCGCGCCCCGGCAGCCCCCCCCTCCCCGCCGGCCGCCGGAGCTCAGCATGCCGAGGAGGAAGCAGCAAGCGCCCCGGCGCGCAGCAGGTACGAGAGCCGCCTTCCCCGGGCCCTTTGCTTCTCCCTTTCACCCTCCTTCCCTCTCCCCGGTACCGCTTTCCAGCGGGCTGAGCCCCTTCGGTCCGTACCGGGCTTCCCCCCCCCCTCCACCCCGCTCCGCGCCCCGGCTCCCCGCACACCCGCGGATTTCGCAGAGCAACTCTTGGTCTTGGAGGCACACGGCTGTGGCGTGCTGGTGCTGGTGGATTTGATTTTATTTTGGTTTATTTTTATTTATTTATTATTTTTTCCTTGGGGTGGGGGGGGGCGCGTGGAAGCCCGTTCCCTACTTTGGTGCCCACTTTGATTTATTCCCAACTCCGCCGCCGCCCGGCTCAGTGCTGGGGGTGACACTCGGTGGAAGGCGTTGGGGGGTGTGTGTGCGGGCACATTTCTACACGAATCTAACACGAATCGTCTGTGCGACTCTTCGGGGTGGGGAAGGAGGCGAATTTTGTCCATTTCCAGCCCGTACTTTGGCACCTACTTTGCTGCTCTCCCTTGTAGTCTTCGTTCTTCTCCATCCCCTTCCCTCACACGCAAATGGGTTGTGAAAGCCAGTGAAAATACTCCTTTTTAAAATTTTTTTTTCTCTTTTTTTTTCTTTTCTTTGCTGTAAGATGAGGTAGGGTACATGGCACGCTGTGAATGAAGTGGTAGGGACAAAGTGACTTGGAGGGGCCGCAGTGTTACTTGAAGATCCAAGCCCAGAACTAGCTCCTTTGCTCAACTTTTATCTTTTTCTCTCATCCCCTTGTACCGCGCTGGAGGTGTCTCTGCTGGACACACAGACCCACCTTGTTGGTCACTTTCTTTGGCAGCCTCTTCTGTTAATCCTATTGATTTCTTATTTATGAGTCCAGATGAGAAGCTGCAAAAGAAACCCAGGGAAAAAAAAAAGAAAAAGGGTCTGTGTATTGTCAAATGACTGGCAAATGTTTCTGATAGTGCTTTTACAATTTCCTCCATTTTTTTTTCTTTTTAGAAATACTTTTCGAGGCTTTGTCCTGGCGAGGTTTTTTTGTTTGTTTGTTTTGTTTGCCTTATTCCAGAAATGTCAACTCCTGTTAAACTTAAGCTTTTTTTTTTTTTCCCCGAAAAGCCAAGTTGAAAAGAAAACAGTAAAAAAAAAAAATTAAAGCCCCACATAATTTTACAGTAATCCTTAGTTGGGGATATGTGGGCTGGAAAAGGTTTCCTTGGCCTGTTGCCATCCTTGATTTGATGGCTGATTGATCGCCTGTCATCTGGCTGCCTTTGATCTATTCATTCCCGATAAACATCAATAAATCACTTGCCATGGTAACGCCAGACTCGGTGACGTCACACGGGGCCTGTCAACTCTCTGTCAGCACAACTTCAGGGGCTCCTGCCTGGATGGGCCACATAGCCACATGCTACCAGGGCTTCCAGAGGTGTGGGGCTGGCTTAGGTGGGGGAGCAGGATGGGCTTTGGATCGGGACAGGTTTTTGGGGAGAACCAGCATTCCCTAATCCGCCTCTTCCAAAGGAAGGCTCTGGACACAGGGGCCCGGGTGTAGAAGTTTCCCAGAGGCTCCAGCAGCGTTACTGGTGGTGGGTTTGTAGCTGTGCTGGTAACAACTGGGAGCAGGTAGTCCTACAGCTTGGTGGGACGTTGTTGGAGAAGGGATGTTCAGAGATGTGGCACTGCTTTCACGCTGACAACTTCGCAGGGCGGTGTGGTTTGAATTTAGTAAACAGCAAGGGACTCGGGGAGCAACACAAATTGTAAATAACTATGTTTACGTTTCCTTTCTTCTCTTCTTTGACACACACACACGTTCATCTCCTGCTTTTGAAACAGAGAAATGAGAGTTTGTAGCACTCTGGCTCCATGCGTTCGTAGCTAGAAAGTTTGGAAAGTTTCGCAGTGCGGTGCTGATACGATCTAGCAAACAATATCCTAGCCAAATACTTTGTGATAGTATTTTGCATTCCTGGCCCGTGCCATCAAATGACGCTTTTCAAAGAAATTAAGAAGGTGAACTTTTCCTAATACTTGGGAAATTCTGTTTCGTGACATTCATTTAGTTCTGCAAAATCCAGCTCTTCCAAGTGTTTGACACTGGACTGTGCTGGATGTTGGGCTCTCCGTAGGCTGGAGGAAAAATGTTTCTGCACTAAACACACAGCCTGAGGTATCTTTTTCTCCTTCTCTGCCACTCTCCGTCTCTCCCTCCTTCCTCGTGTGCATCGTCTGTGATGTGCGATCTATCGTTCGTATTTAGCACAAGTGTAATCTCTTTCAACTTTTAGCTTTTTGATAGCCACATTAAACATTTAGTATTGTGTGTAATTGCTTCCCACTGAAACGCTGGTTTATCGGTCGCTTTGGAAATGTTACTTTTTCTAATAGCAGTAAAAGCAAAGGCTTTTTTTTTTTTTTTTTCCTTAACACCTTAAAAAAGAGCTAAGAAATAACAGGTTAGTTAAGAAATATTCATTACAAAAACTTGACTGCAGGACTAATAGGAGATGGAAGAATGGTTTTGCTCTATCAAAATGACCCGTCAAAACGACTTTGTTTCATATTTGATTTAATTGTCTCTCTCCTGACAGGCACATTCATCAATAGCTTAATGGTCAATCAGAAGTTGGCAGAGTGAGTGCTTTCATTCTTTCCCATACACTAGCTTTGGCTTTACTTTATCAAAATGCCTCTGCCTAATGGATATGGGGGATGTAGAATGACTGAAGGGCTACTTATTTGAGAAGAGTGAAAAAACAAGAACATTTATGCTGTTGATAAGTGCATGAAGATAAATAAGTGAGCTGTATGAGGCGTTTTATTTTAAGACAGAAGAAACTTACATTATTTTTTTTTTTTTTTTTTCCTCCTTTTTGGCTTCAGAGCTGCGAGTTATAAGGTTCATGACTGCTTTTGTGGCATACTGAGAGTGATGACAAATTGATTGCTTGGTACTGAGAGAGAAAAAAAGGTGGTGGTGGGGGGAGAATTAAAGATGTCTGCTGATTGGTAACTCAGGAAATCCAGTCCCCAGCAACCTTGAGAATACTCGAGAATTTTTTTTTCTCCAAACTGAAAGGTCCGCTCAGCCATAAAAAAAGAAAAGTTGTTTTGCCAGCTTCATTAGTGTTCACCTAATTAGCTGTAAACCTGATGGATTCCTGACAGCTTTAATGATTGGAGATGACAAGCTCCACGCAGTGTCATCCAGCAGAATTAGGTTTGCAGCTAGTTTGATGTAATCAAGTTGATATTACACAGTCCTGGTTGCCTTTAGTTGTGCATTAACTCAATTTTCTGCTGCAGGTGACAAATGGGCTTTGGTACCTGGATAATCATGTCATAGGAATTAGGGCCCTTTTAATGGTCTGGAGTAGAATAACAACAACAAAGAACTCTCA